GTAATACACTTTAGGACATCCTGTAGTTGTGCAAAGCACCACATAAATGCAACTACTTCTTTCTGTCGTGCCTTGGTACTTCTAACACCTAGACTGTGACTGTCCTAGTCAGTTCATGTAGAACCACTAAGATGGGAAAGACTTTCAGTTTTACTGATCTGAGCTGGAAATAATTCCCAAAATGTACCACTCAGCAGTACCCTGCCTCACCTAGCCCACTTGACCAGACATTAGCATTTCATAATGAACTTTGAAAAATAATTCTGAAGGTACTGATTCACAATATATGGGCCACAACCATTTACTGGTAGCCTCACTCAAAAGCCCCAACAGTGAATAGGCTTTGACTCAGGGGAGCATCATCTTCCAACCTGGTCATTGTGTGGAAGTGAATCAAGGCAGTGGCAAGGGGTCTGTTAGCTGATTTCTCCACTTTCTAACCCAGGGGGCTAAAAGCCCTTTCGTGATGAAGCTGCCAGAGAGTGTCTCAATCAGTACAGAGTAGACAAGACTATTCTTTAATGCTTTATTTACCCATTGAACCAATTGGGGGAGCTGTAGTAACATTCATTTCAAAACAAAAAAAAACCTGAATGGACTTCATCACAAGACAACTGTTAAAAGATTAGCATTTTGGTACCTGAACCCAGAAGTGAAGGTTCTATAGACAGACTCGGGATGGCTCCACTGTAGCTTGTTGATGGTGTTAACTTTGGGAGTGCGGGGCTGGTGATGCATCCACTCAGGTCAGTTGTGGATGATGTGATGAGGGAGATGGGGATGGCCAAACTTGGGCTGCTCTCGTTTTTGCTCCCTTTGGGTCTCCCCCTTCCGTGCTTGCTCTTCTTGCTAGCCTTGTGCCTCTTCTCCTTTACCGTCTCTTCCTCTTCCATCCCAGCAACTGGCTGCGGCCGCTTGTACCCGGTTCCTCCACTTGAAGGGCCGCCCATCCCAGCGGAAGTCCTGAAGTCTGTGGAGGAGCTTTCGGGGGGCTTCTTTGGGGCCGGAGGGGCTGAGCTGAAGCGGATCAAAGAGTTGTAGCTCGACAGGGTCCCCTCAGCTGCGTCGTAAGAGGCTGAATTCTGCGAGGAGTTGTGACCCACTGAGTAGGTGTCTCCTCGCAGTTCAGGCTTGCTGAATATTCCAACCTCCTGGGAGGGCTGCAGTGAACTGCTAGAAGTGCTCAGGAGACTGCCTGTAAGGGAATCACAAACGCAGGATTGTTAAGGACAGTATTTCCAGTTTTTTTTAAAAATGCTTTTATTTCAGATTTTCCATCATTTTGCTCTTGCACAAATTTTGTTTTAAGACTGATGCACAAGGTTAACATACAGTAAACAAAGCTTCCTGTGATCTAATCTCAACCCTTCTCTTCCTGCATTCTATCAGCAAAAATCCATCACCTTCCATTTATAACGAGGGCCATTTTTCTTCAAAGTGTACAGTTTGTGTTTCACTCACACTGCGGTCATTAAAGCAGTTTATTAATGTCCCATTCTCACCTTAAAACACATGCTAATCTCTAACTGTTTGTCTAAGTGGATCACTTTAGCACCTCATTACTGGCAATTATCAGCGCCCAGCTATTCGAAGTGTCACCTTGTGCTTTTAAGAGCTTTCAATCATTTTTAATGGAGCTATTAATGTAAATATAATTTCTCTCAATAAAATGTGTGTTAAAACCGACAGAACACCCCATTGTACGCCTGTTACAGGCCCTTCTGATGTGTTAAAACTGCTAGAAGATGATTGACTGGAGACACTGCGTACAATTTTTCACTCAGTTAGAGACGCGACTGTATTTTAACGCAGTCCCAGTATTATACAAGGTGAGATGTTAGAAACGTTTTGAAATATTTTCTCTGAGGCAACAACAGTATCACTGTACAAACTTAGTGAAATGTACAAATGTTGAAGACTACAGAATGACCTTTGCAGCAGCTTTACAGAAATGTTTTCTGAAATGAAGCTACTTCTGAAAGGTAGGGACTGAGCAACAGAGTCTTCATTCTTGTAGTGTGCAGTAATTTATAGTTTAAAGCACCCGCATATGCAGTAACTGAAACAGACTCACTTGTGCTTGGTTTGCACTGACATTTATGGGCTGTTGTAGGATAACAAATACATGGAAAGAAGTAAAGAAAAAGTTGCAATTATATAGCGTCTTACACAGCCACCAGATCCTCAAAGTGCTTTCCTGCCAATTAAGTATCTTTGACATGTTGCCACTTTTCCAATGTAGAAAATGTGGCAGAAAATTTCACACAGCAAGCTCCCGCAAACAGTAACATGATAAAAACTAGATATTATCTGCTTTTGTCATGTTAATTAAGGGATAAATAATGGTCAGGTCGCTGCAGGTAGCACCCCTGGTCTTTCTCATCATAGGGTTACAAGATCTTTTACATTTGTCGATAAGATTAACATTAACTCAATTTCTCTCACTATAGATGCTGCCAGACCTCCTGAGCTTCTGCACTATTCGTTTGGGTTTTTTTTTTTGTCCAGTATTCTCCGTTTGTTTCTTTTACATCCCTTGCTGGGTTAAAATCTTGGCACTCCCTCCCCAACAGCACTCTGGGTCTACCTACACCACAAGGACAATTCAGAAAATCACACGACATCAGGTTGTAGTCCAACAGGTTTATTTGAAATCACAAGTTTGTGGAGCACAGCCCCTTCGTCAACTTCATCTGATCACCAAATAAACCTGTTGGATGAAAACCTGGTGTCATGTGACTTCTGACTTTGTCCACCCCAGTCCAGCACCGGCACCTCCACATCGCAGTTCAGGAAGGCAGCTCACCATCCCCTCCTCCAGGGCAATGAGGGGTGGGTGGTAAATGCTGGAGCAGCTAACGACAGCCCACACCTCTCTCTACATCCTATGAAAGAATAAACGAAAATCTGAGCAGGCTAGATAGGACTTCATCTGAGAGACAGCATAACTGATAGTGCAGAACTTCCTCATAACACATCCCAGTATAAACCATGGGTTTTCCACTTAGAGTCTGGGGGATTCGAACTTAGAACTTTGTGACTAAAAAGGTGAGCCATAGCTGACCAAACATTGGAATTTTATCCAGAAGATTGAGGGAGAGTTTAAGGATTTAAATGAGTAGATATGGACAACCCAACTCCTCAGACAGGGGAATTGCAAGACAAATCCACTAGCTGTAAGCTGCACACAGTCGGAAAGAGTTAGACACAACCCCAGGGAGTGCATCATTCCGGGAACATGCAGGCAATGTGGGAATTTGGTGCAGAGGGGAAGAGGTGCTTTTTGTTTGCTTCTTTTTGACTCAGGATAAATTGAAGCCCAGAATCACAGGCTCAACACAAAAGGGTGATGTCACAGGTCAACCATAAGTTCATTGGTTTGCAATAGCTATTAATTGTCTGTTATAGGTTACTTTCAGATTGAAGGTAAATAGGAGAAATATTTATAGGCTATAAACTAAAAGACCAGTACAAAATTTTTAAAAATCAAATTAAGAACTATGTAATGAGAAAAGAGAGACTGGGCCAGGCGATGTGTTGTACCTGAACAATGTGGGAGCTGGTGGACCCCACGGCGGTTCAAAGTGGCCGTGTCCGCAGCAAGTGTTGGTTGCTTGAGGAACTCCGGCTCAGAGTTGAGAGCTGGAGCCTGAGCATTGATCACTGCGACACAGGAAGGAGGTGGAAGTGTTTCAGGAGGCAGTCACACCTCTTAGATTAACTACCTCAAATTTAGTCAGTGGTCAGGGACAGGAGAGTGCGACTATGAGCAAGGCAGGTCGAGGGATGCAGGAGGTAGTGCTGAAGAAGCCTCTGTCCTTGAGCTTGTCTAACAGGTTTGAGAGTCTTGCTCCCGTGTGTGGATGAGAGTGGGGGCTGTAGGGTGGATGAGCAAACTGATTTTGGCACTGTCGTACAGAGAGCCATTCAAGACAGGGCAGAAAAGAAAAATGTAGTTGTAAACAGGGATAATATAGTCAGGGGAATGGACACCGTTCTCTGTGGCCAGGATTGAGAGTCCCAAAGGCGGTGTTGCCTGCCTGGTGCCTGGGTGCAGAATATCTCATCTGAGCTATTGAGGAACTTGGAGTGGGAAGGGAAAGATCCAGTTGTTGTGGTCCATGTAGGTTACAATGATACAGGTAGAAAAAAGGAAAGAGGTTCTGCTGGCGGAATACAAGCAGCTAGGGTCTAAATTAAAAGCATAACCAGAAAGTTAATAATCTCTTGATTACTACTTGAGCCATGAGCTAATGGGTACAGGGTCAACAAGATTAAAGACAGGAACAAAAACAGAATTTGCTGGAAAAGCTCAGCAGGTCTGGCAGCATCTGTGAAGAAAAAAAATCAGAGCTAACATTTCAGGTCCAGTGACCCTTCCTCAGAACCTTTTTTCATTTTAAACAAGAAAATGAAGATTAAAGAGATAAATGTGTGGCTCAAAAATTGGCGTGGGAGAAACGGGTTTGAATTCATGGGACACTGGTATCAGTATAGGGGAAGGAGGGAGCTGTTCTGATTCAGGTTCCCTGTGAACCATGTTGGGTGACCAGAGTCCCACTGAATGGCATACCTAGGACTGTTGGGAGGGGTTTAAACTAAATTGTGAGGCGACAGATGGAGGGGTGAGGGTGCGCACCCGAGAGATAGACAGGGATGAGGGTGCGTGCCCGAGAGACTGAGTGCGCTTGTGGGTGCAAGAGAGAGAAAGCGTGTGTGTGAGAGCGCCGTTTGTCAGCAGTGGTTAAAACTTCCAGAACAAGTAATCAGACAGAGAGACTGGAAAAGGTCAGGAATCTAACCTTCAGGCAATGCAGGTAAGGGGATAACTATGACAAGAGGGCTAGTCAACACAGGACTGAGGGAGTTACACTTAAATGCACACAGTATACGGAACAAGGTAAATGAGCTGGTAGCGCAGATTGAAATTGACAGGTACCATGTTGCGGGTATCACAGACGTGGCTGCAAGGAGATCAAGGCAGGGAACTAAATATCCGAGGATATGCATCCTATTGAAAGGACAGGCAGATGGGGCAAGGTTGCCTTGTTAGTAAGGAATTAAATTAAATTGATAGTAAGAAGCAATATAGGGTCGAAAGCCGTAGTATCTGCGGGCAGAGTTGAGGAACTGTAAAGGAAAAAAAAAGGCCCTGATGGGAGTTGTGTACAGGCCTCCTAGCAGTAGTCAGGATGTGGGGTAGAAAGATTGGAAGATAAGAAAGGCACTATTACAATAATCATGGGGACTTCAATATGCAGGTGAACTGGGAAAAATCAGGTCGTTAGAATCCCAAGAAAAGGAATTTATGGAATGTCGATGAGATAATTTTTCGAGCAACTTGTGGTGGAGCCCACAAGGGAACAGGCAATTCTGGATTTGGTTATGTGAAATGGGGTAGAATTGATTAGGGGCAGTGACCATAATATGATGTAACTCACCCTGCAGTTTGAGCGGGAGAAGCTGGAATCAGATGTCATGGTATTACAAATGAGTGAAGGAAACTACAAAGACATGAGGGAGGAGCTGGTCAGAGTTGATGAGAAGGGGAGCTTAGCAGGGAAGATGGCGGAACAGCAATGGCAGCAGTTTCTGGGGATAATTCGGGAGGCACAGCAGATATTCATCCCAAGGAAGAAGCAGTATGCTAAGGGGAGGACGAGGCAACCATGGTTGTGGAGGCAAGTCAGGGATAGCATAAAAGCAAAAGAAAAGGCATACTGTACAATGTGGTGAAGATTAGTGGGAAGCCAGAAGACTTGAAAATGGCTAATACAACACCCCTATCTAAGAAGGGAGGGATGCATAAGACAGGAAACTATAGGCTCATTCACCTGACCTTGGTTGCACGTAAGATTTTAGTGTCCATTATTAAGAATGGATTGCGGACTTCTTGGAAGTGCATGGTACAACAGGACTGCGTCTAGGGGAGGTTCATGCCTGACAAATCTGTTAGAATTCTTTGTGAAGGTAATGAGCAAGTTAGACAAAGCCAGTGGATGTGATCTAGTTGGATATCCAGAAGGTCTTTGATAAGGTGCCACACAGGAGGCTGCGAAACAAAATAAACAGCCCATGGCAACAGGGACAAAAGTATGAATGGAGATAAGGAGGTTGTTTTCAGGACGGCAGCTGGTGACTAGCGGAGTTCCGTGGGGGTCAGTATTCTGATCACAACTATTCATGTTATACATT